CCATCCAACCAGTTTTTTTAACCTAACTTGTTGTCCAGTCATCCACACTGCAATGTCCTAACTTGGAAATAAGACTATTGGGAGATGAAGTGTTGAACACCTTGCTGAAGTTGAGGTGACACCTACTGCCCCCTTTCATCCACAAATCCACTCATTTTGTAGTCTGTCTCTGCTTCTACCTCGTGCTGACCTCATTTTTACACTGAAGCTCTACCATAAGCTCCCTGTTTAACCAGACCAGCCTCACAATAGATTAATTAATTTTCCTGAGTACTGGAAGGGACCTTACTTGAAATAGGAACGGTTGTCCTTAAAGACCTCACAGTTTTCCTGAGCCTGTCCTTCAGAGCTGTCTCCCATGGGATCCCACCAACTAGCCCTCCTCATAAGCTGAAGATTGGTCTCCAAAAGTTGAGTTAAATCCTGGTTGCATCTCCAACTAAAACATCATACTTCAAATACTCATTCCTGTACATCTCAGTGATACTTCCTTATATGTTTCTGATTGAACCAAGACACCATGGGCCGTTGAAACTCCACCAAAAGATATGGACAACACCACGAGAGCACGCACAATTAAAAGAAATCATTACACACAAATCATAGAATGATTTGGGTTGGAGGGGACCTTAAAGATCATCCAGTTCCAACCCCCTGCCATGGGCAGGGCCACCTCCCACCAGTCCAGTTTGCTCAAACCTCCATCCAACCTGGCCTTGAACCCCTCCAGGGATGGGGCAGCCACAGCTTCTCTGGGCAACCCGGGCCAGGCTCTCACCACCCTCACAGCAGAGAATTTCTTTCTAGTATCTCATCTAAATCTCCCCTCTTTCAATTTTTAAACCACTTCCCCTTGTCCTGTCACTACATTCCCTGATAAAGACTCCCTATGAACAAGACTAAGAAATATGTTTTTCTCCATTGGGAACATGCCAGGATTAACCCAACTTGTGAGGAGGCATCAGCAGCTCTCACTTATTTCACACCTACACAATACATAGTTCTTTATGACATGGGTCTTTCAGCGATTTGTTTTCTTGAGGATGGTATAGTAACAATAACAAATAATACAGTTTTTAAAGAAGTATTTCAAAAAAGAGAAAAATCTTCCGTATCCTCAGTGTAATCTGTTTCTGCAAAGGGAAAAAAAAATGGCTGTCTGAGATGCAGAGACTCTTGATAATTCAAGCATTTGTTCTTTTCTTTTTTTCCATAATAGACTATTAGCTTTTCAGATATCCACTAAGCTAAAACGAATTAAACCATTCCCTTTGTCTGTTATGACTGAAGCTTTAGGTATAACACACACTCAGAAGAAGGAAAGAAAAAAACCAAAGTATTCATTGTCTGACTAAATTACTTATCATCAATATTGCTTTAGGAATTACAGACATACTTTAAAGATTTTACACTTGTTAAATATTTTAGTGCATTTAATATTACTCAGAAGTCAGAAAATGATCCAAGCAAGCCAGGATGCTTTAAGACATAGTATTTGGATGTCAGATTTCTTTGTAAGTGTACGTAATTTCATTTTCGGACCCCAAACTGAAGTCAATAAATTCATCATATATTGGCAAGCAACAAGACACACATTCTTTCATGTAATCTAATCCATTATTCTTCCACCAAAAGCCATCAAAGACTCGACTTAAGGAAAGGGCTGTTTTAAATGGCTCTAATGTTTCTCCCTCTGGACATCATCTTTATTTTTGCAGCAAAGTCTTATGTGTCTAGAACATAAAAAGATATAAACGCAGGCTAACAAACTATCAAGTTTTGGTACTCCAAAAGCTAGAGCCAGCCTCCAAACACCACCATCCTTCACACCTTATCAGACACCTGCAGACTCCGACAGGTTAGATGTAGCTACAAAATAAGCAAAGAGGTTGACTGTTCTTACAGCATCAGAGAAATGCAAGAGTTTGTAATTCTTCATCAAAAAAACATTCAGTGAAAGAGGAAAGGGTGGTACGGCAACATGTACTCAAGTATCATTTAATCCTCTTAAATACAAATCATTTTAGCAACTGAGGTATATCCAGTTCTACTTTCCTGAGGAAATACAAACACTTCACCCAAATCACTAGTTCTTGAAGCAAAAATACGCTTGGCAAGGTTTGCCAAGCTTGCAAATGGTCAAGTGATTCGTTAAGGCTTTCAATAAATAAAAATATAAAAATAAAAAAAAGCCCTATTTCCAACACATTAAGAGAAAAAAAATAGAGCATCAAGATATGTACATGCTGTGAATTAGCAAAGAATTACTGGGGTATTAACAGCCTTCATCTCCAGTCAAAAAAGCCCTATTTCCAACACATAAAATAGAGCATCAAGATACGTACATACTGCGAATTAGCAAAGAATCACTGGGGTATTAACAGCCTTCATCTCCAGTCACCGCATCCCAAAAATCACAGGTGCTTATTCCCAAGACTACTTCCATAAGCCAGGTTTAAGGATAAAAAAGCACCAATCCCTGCCACAAAAATAGGCAGGATGTGCAAATATTATTTCATATAAATCCTTTGCCTAGAATAATTTCTTCACCACAGTAAAATACATGTACATAGTGAGAAGACCACTACTTAAAAAGAAAGATAGACAAACTGGCAGTCCATACATGAAACTACAGCCCTACTCCATTCAAACCTTACTTAAGCAAACATTACTTCTAAGCCATTTTATTGGCCAAATTCCATTTCACAGAATCTTGGAATTGTCTGAGTTGGAAGGGACCTCTAGAGATCATCTAGTCCAACCCCCCTGCTAAAGCAGGGTTACCCAGAGCACTTCACTCAGGGCTGCAGCAAGGTGGGGCTTGAAGGTCTCCAGAGAAGGGGACTCCACACCCTTCCTGGGCAGCCTCTGCCAGGGCTCTGCCACCCTCACCCCAAAGAAGTTTTTCCTTATATTTGAATGAAACTTCTCATGTTCCAGCTTGTGCCCATTGCCCCTGGTCTTGTCACTGGGAACCACTGAAAAGAATCTGGCTCCATCCTCCTTCAACTCACCCTTTAGATCCTTGTCAGCATTAATAAGGTCTCCCCTCAGCCTTCTCTTCTCCAGGCTAAAGAGTCCCAGCTCTCTCAGCCTCTCCTCATCAGGGAGATGCTCCAATCCCTCCATCATCTCTGTTGCCCCACGCTGGACTCTCTCCAGCAGTTCTCTGTCTCTCTTGAACTGGGGAGCCCAGAACTGGACACCCTATTCCAATTGTGACCTCACCAGTGCAGAACAGAGGGGGAGAATGACCTCCCTCCACCTACTGGCCACTCTCTTCCCTTCGTAGGAAGGAAGCCAGCTGACAGTAATTTTTAGCACTGATATTTTCCTTGCCCTCGCTATGCCACAGTCTTCTTATTCATGAAGTGGAAAAAACAAACCTCTAAACAGCATCATTTGGGAGGCCTGATATTTGTAAAACATCCCGCGTTGGATTTGCTCAACATCCTTAGATGTTCACATCTCACCTCTTCACAGAATCATCATCGTTGGAACAGACCTTTGAGATCACCAAGTCCAACCATACGCACACAAAAAAACCCTCCCTACAATCTGGGGCACTAGAGCATGCCCTGAAGAGCCACATCTACACCTTTCTTAAATACCTCCAGGGATGGTGACTCCACCACCTCCCTGTTCCAGTGCCTGACCACCCTCTCAGGAAAGTAATTCTTCCCAATATCTAATCTAAACCTCCCCTGCTGCAACTTCAGACCATTTCCTCTGGTCCTGTCATTATTCCCTTGGGAGAAGAGGCCAACCCCCACCTCTCTACACCCTCCTTTCAGGGAGTTGTAGAGGGCAATGAGGTCTCCCCTCAGAAGAGAGGGATTCCTGGAGGGCAATTCATCCCCCAGGTTCCTAGAGGACAATTCATCTCATCCTGAAGTAGAATTCTCAAATAAAGCCAGATGAATTGTCTCCCAAAACATCTTTTTCTTTCTACTTACTACAGAGGGAGTCCAGCTCGGATACAGTCATCTACACCACACACACCTTCAATGAAGCAACAGGAAACCAAGTTGCTGTGCTTCTGATGAAAGCAAGATGCTACTTTCTGTTCGTTCAAGTCTTGCTGCAAGGCCCACTACCATCACAGCACTTGCTGAGTTTTGGTGGGATCTTTTTCTAAGTATCAATGCAAAAGGCCCTTAGGGAATATCGATATTAATATTCCTGGAGTGCTGATAAGAAGCCTCACTCGAACCTCACACGTTTCACAGAGTCCACAAACATAAATCCCATGCTCCAGCCTCTGCCATTCATTTTCATTCCTTGGTAGCTACACCGTGTTCACCGTGCCGACGTGTTTTAAATCACATAAATCCCATGCTCCAGCCTCTGCCATTCATTTTCATTCCTTGGTAGCTACACCGTGTTCACCGTGCCGACGTGTTTTAAATCAGCCAACGGGCTGCCTGGCACGGAGCCTGCTTGATGCATTCAAACAGGCCTCAATAATGAAATAAAAAACATGAAGGAAGCCATCATTTTGAGCCATCGATCTGTATAAACTGTACGTGACTTATTTCCACTATTCCCTGATAAGAAAATAGCGTATTATTCTTTTAACATTTGCTTAAGCACATTTCAACAGAAGTTCACTATACTAAAATTTGGTGTTAAGTAGACAGGAATTTTCACTTCAGAACTCAATGCATACTTGGAATGAATATTTGCTTTTAAAAAAAAAAATAAAAAAATAGGGCTTTAACAATGGATAATACCTTAGAAATCTACTAAACAGCTGTGTTTTACATTTAAATGTCAGTCAGAAGACAAGAGAGTAATACAACTCCTCTAAAAGCCTACAAACTACTTTCTTCTTCAAAAGGAGATGAGCAAAAAATGTCAAAAAAATCTTCTGAAAAGATGAGCAAAAAATGTCAAAAAAATCTTCTCTACGAAATGGCAATGAGTTCATTGCAATGTTCTGAAAGGCAAATTTGATTTGCTTCCTTGCATTAGAAAACAGAAGAACATGGGGGGTGTACCTGCACCAGACGCCGATCGGTGCTGCGATCTTCCACTGGGTGAAGAAGGTTCCTTCATCCGATCGATGAGGCTGTCAGAAAGCTGCAAAATAGAACCCCCAACCCCAAAAGTCAGAACTGTATCTCCTTTATCCCCATTACCCTTCTCTTTCCCCCCAAAATGAAGTAAAACTTTAAAAAAATAAGGCACAGAGCCCCCAAAAAGTTGCTAAAATTCTATCCACAACGCAAAATTCACTTTCTATTTCCTCTTATTTGTGGGGTGAGTGCTCAGTTCTGAACAAGATGATTTTGGCTCTCACAGATCAGGAGAGACTGATATGAGAAAATACAGGACACAAGGAAGGGTAAAAAAAACCACCACCCTTTGACACGTTGCTTGTAATTAACCAGCCTTTATCCCTTCTCAGTTATTTGGATGACAGTCAAATACCGCACAGCACTTAACCCAGGAGGAACTTTATCCTGACAAAGCCCTTAAAACACTTGTGCAACACACACAAAAACACTGTCACAAATTACACGGAATCAAACTGAGAATAAGAGTAATGGCCAGTTCCAGATCTGTTGTAGCCCGTGGAAAAAAATAACAAAAGAATAAATAACACGAAAGCTTATGTTTTCCAACTAATAACTTCTTACTGGTTTCCTCCAACACCAACTCTTATCAAAACACTGGTTTGACTGCCCATGAGAATTAATTTTAATTAGCAAATTCTTTACTAAACCTACAGCATGACGGCTCTCACCAGCAGAGATGTGTGTTGCAAAGGTTTTGCAGAAATTTGTAATCTAAATGCAACTGAAGGGGTAAAATTCCTTCCTGCAGCGTAAGATTTCTTAACCCAGTCCTAAAACTCTCAAGTTAACTTCACAGTTAGTTTTACGTAGGTAAACAGGATCCACTTTTGAAGGTTCTGTTGATTATTTATTTAGTGAAGCTAGATCTTCTTTTCATACGTAGGATCACTCAGTTTTTATTCCAAATATTTCATGATCCAGGATACTTTAGAGAAATTCCAATAGCTCTTCCCTATCTAAGAGCAGATGAACAACTCTGAACACGAACATTACTGTCACCTTTTCTCCTGAGAGTATTAAATGACCAAAATTGGAAAATACGACTACACTGAAACAGGCAGCAGTTAGTATCACACTTCATTCCGCAACACTCCTCCCTGTGAGCAGTGACAACAAATAAAACAACTTATTATCATTCATACGAACTACAGTGTCTTCCATCAAAAAGTTTCTAAGCAGTGAGAGATTTCTCGAAGACACTTGTGTCACATGCTGCCTTCTGGTATATTATAGGCAAAAGCACACCAAAAAGAGGCAAAAAACAGGAATGCTTCTGGAGGTAGAGAGGAAGCCGGATGCAGCACATGTAGGAGAGCAGGCCATGGGAGAGGGAGGAGCTCTCACACGTAGAGGTCAGGGAAAGACAAACCAAGCCCTGACAGTCCCACATCTCTCCTACAGCTGTTCTGCACCCCGCCTTTAATAACCAAGCCGGGGAGAAGGCTCCCCCAGGACAGGCTCCTATGTACGGCATGATTCTCGCCACCACAGACACCTTTAGGTCACACCGGAGCACCACGGCTCTCGGTTTCCTAACAAGACCCAGCCGAAAAAGCCGGGAAGGGTGGAGGTCACTGCGGGAGAGGGGATGGAAGCAGAGGAGAGCACCCTCCAGGCGGGAGGGGACAGAGCTGCAGGCCCAGGAGCCAGCAGCGCAGAGGGACCGGGCCCTCCGGTCCCCCCTCCTGGGGCCAGGCCGGGGTGAGCCAGGCCCCGAGGTATCCCTGCGGATCCCGGCGAGAACCTGCCCCCCCGGCCCTGGGTTTGTTTTGGGGGGAGCCCCGGTGGAGTCCTGCTCTCACCCGCACGCCCTTCACCACCGTGATGTTCTCATTCTCGTCCGCCTCGAAGGTGACGCGCCGGGTGCTGCCGCCGGCTCCCATCTTCGCCCGGCGCCACCAGGCCGCGGCCAAGGGACGGCCCCAAGGAGACTCGCCGGCCCCGCTGCCAGCGCGCCCCGCAACAAACCCGCCCCTCATTGGTCCGCCGCTCGCCCCACCCCGCCCCGCTCGCGTAGAACCCCTCTCTCTATTGGCTGTGGCGCCGTAGCCATGGAAACCGGAGAGGTACCGGAAAGGGTGAGGAAACTTTTTCGGGCGAAACTTGACCGGGGTGCGGACTACACGTCCCTTGATGCTTTGCGCCACGAAGCAGGGGAGGGAGCGTCCCTCCCGCGCAGTGCACGCTGGGTAGTGTAGTTCTCGCCGGGCCCGGGCTGTGAGGCGGCTGCCGGGCCACACTGCGGGCGGGGAAGTCCCACCTCATGGCCCGCGGGGCTACCCCGAGGCTACCCCGCTCTGAGGGGGATTTAGGGACCACCTTCCACCTCTGCTCATCCCTCGGAGGATAAGGGGCAGTGTGCGCCTGCCACCTCAGTGAGGCCACTCTAATGGCACCTCATATGCTATGTCCAGTTTTGGGCCCCTCACAACAAGACAGACATTGAGGGGCTGGAGCATGTCCAGAGAAGGGCAACCGAGCTGGTGAGGGGTCTGGAAAACAAGGAGAAGGGTCTGGAGAACTTCTGAGGGAGCTGGGGATGTTCAGCCTGGAGACAAGGAGGCTGAGGGGAGACCTTCTCGCTCTCTCCAACTCCCTGAAAGGAGGGTGTTGCCGGGGGGGGGTTGGTCTCTTCTCCCAAGGAACAGGCGATAGGACAAGGGGAAACGGCCTCAAGTTGTCCCAGGGGAGGTTCAGATTGGATATCAGGAGCAATTTCTTCACCAGAAGGGTCATCAAACATTGGAATGGGCTGCCCAGGGAAGTGGTGGAGTCACCATCCCTGGAGGGATCTAAAAGACAGGTAGATGTAGTGCTGAGGGACATGGTTTAGTGATGGGTTTTTGTCAGTGTTAGGTTGATGGCTGGATTGGATGATCTGAAAGGTCCCTTCCAAGCAAACCGTTTCTATGATTCAGGGCCGGCCCAGTGTGAGGAGGGTGCTCTGGCTCCTGCTGGAGCTCTGGGCCTGAGCTTATGCCTCATCCCATTTTCCACATCATAACAGCATAAAATTACCATTAGCATACCCCCTTTGGGCATGTAATTTTCTTTCCAAGAGATGAATAATGTTAATAATGCACATTACATTTTCTTTTCAGCCTGTAATATAAACTGTGTCTGGAGCTGGCTGTTCTACAAGGAAAATCCCCCCCCCCTGTAGATCCAGTGGCCGGGCTTAACAGCCTGAACTGCAGAGGTGGGTGCTGGGGAGATGTCTGAAAGGAGGAAAAGGTGTTCTGTAGTGTATAATGCCAGAAAAGGTACTGCATTCTGGGTGCTAGTGGTGTCAGACACATCTTTGAATTTCTCTAGCCTAAGTATAAAGCAAGAATTACCTTTACGTAGCTGGACTATACGAATATACATTATTTTGTCTCTTCTGCCATCTAGCCTCTTCGCTTGTTTTACCCAGTGAAGCCCCAGTCTTCTGCTGGGACTTCTTGACGCTGGCAGCATACAAATAATAATAACCATAATATTTGGGAAATTTTATCTTTTCTTTTTTCCCCTTTCCGAGCCTTTCATCTGCTTGGCTCGAGGAAGGATAACCCATTTGTACCAAAGTGACACCAAAGCCTTCAACCCCCCACTGCAAGAAATTTGTCCCAGGGTGTTTACAGAGTGATCACAATGGATTATTGCAGCCTGTGTCGTCTGACTCATTTCATTTCTCGGAATCGATGCAAACATCATGTTGGTTGCATCAACAGAACCGCTCACCACGTCCTTGATATATTTTCAAGCAATTTTTATTTGGATGTAAAGTGTCTATCAGCCAACATTTCAGCAGTATCTGCCTTCCTTGGGGCTTAAGATATTGCTGAAGCATTGGCTGACAGCCACTTTGCTACCAAATAAAAATTGCTTGAAAATATATCAAGGACATATGAGCCATTCTCTTGAGGTATGTGACGTGATGTTTATGCCTGGTTTTATAGATGTTAAACCAGTTTCTATGAGGGGGCACTATTACAAATTCAACACTCTGGTAACTGTATGTTTTTAAGGGAATAAATGGACTGTGCATCTATCTGTCTTGATACGGTGTGAGCACCGACAAACTGAAGGTAGTGAATTCTTCTTTTTTTTTCTGAACCAGGAATGTTTTTAGCAGGTCAAATTGTATTTACGTAGACATAACTGCTGTAGAAATGCCCATCTCCAAATCAGAAGCAGCTCTTCTAATATATCTGTGCTCTGTTGGGAGAGTTCTGAGCAAATGCTCTTGTCTTGCTGAACAGAAAGATTTATATTTAGGAATTAAGGTTTTAACAACAGCTGTGTTCTGCCAGGGGTTTTTATGATTGTTTTGTGTGATTTGAAATTACAGACCAGTGTAACACATGCATAGATTTCAGGCAGGGGGGAAAAGAACAAATGGGTAGAATTACATCTTCCAATTGCTTTTGGGTCATTTTGATGTGTCCATGAGGTTCACTTCCTGCAGAAAGAACAGGACTGAGGTACCCCAGAATTTATGGCTCCCCTATAATAGGTGGAAATGAAAGACTGGCTGCTGCAGGCCAGAGCTATCTATATGTCAGGGCCTTTTCTCTGTGGACTGTCAAACATACCTGAGAGCTCTTTCAAGGACATCGCTAGAAGAAAAAAGTATTAGAAATTAACGTTAGAAAAGGCTACAACAAATTTGCAGTCCAAAAATCATTCGTTAAAGACTGGCAAATAAACTCATGTCTAGTTCACAACTCTCACAAGCAATTTGCAACTAGAAAAAGAATTTGTTCTGTGTATAACTGAAAACAATTTCTATGTTCATAAATCATACGCTTATTTTAAGAGGAGCGTCTATCAATCAGGTAAACATTTGCCTGCTCTGTGGCATAGAAAAATACAACCTAGTTTAAACTAACTAGTGCAGGCAGCAGCAGTAATCAAAATATCAAACCAGAGCTCAGCATAGAATAATTTGTTATTACTCACTAGTGTTAATCAGTCTCCAGGAGTTCTGTGCAGCCAAGCCAGACGCGTTTGATATGTGCATTACCTCAAATACCTGTGTCATGCTCCAGACAGAGTAAAAACTAAGATACAGATGATGAAGTGACAGGCCCAAGGTCGTTCAGTGCCAACGCAGCAGGACGTTGGTCTTCTGGATCAGTTTCTCTTCAGTGGTTAGTAGAGAGTACGTTTCTACCAAGAAAAAACGATGATGCATGAGCAGAATGACAAATAAAAATGTAGCCATCCACACAAATCCGTTAACTGCTTCTGATTCTTGTTTGAGCTGAACCCATTACTGAATTGTGTAAGCAGAAAATCCATCTCAAACTGGTAAACTTCAGGTATTTCATTGCGTATCTGAAAAACAAGGACTATCTTACTAGGTTAAAACCATTCACTTTTTGTGGTGCTGTGTGCTTTTCCACGTACCCCACGTGTTTTTATGGCCAGGTTGTAAATGCTTGATCCTTTGTTAAAAAGCAGTGCTGTTGTCCAGTCTTGATTTGTCCTTGCCTGCACATATTCCTTTGTAGTAGAAATATTTCTTGTGCCACTTAATACTCAAATTATTCTCTATAAAGTATAGCCAAAGAGAAGTGAAGGACAGTGTTGCCAGACATTCACAAACAAATAAATCCTAATGAGCCCAGGAACATGTTACTATTAAATTTCAGACTCTTGTCTCGAGACTTAAAAAATGCCATGAAAGCGCTCGGTAGGTGAGGTGACATATAAAGGCTCATTGCACACCTGCTGTGAGCCTTTATTCTGTGGAGGATCATCTTGCTCGGTCACTGCCACGGTGAGCACGGTTCTACCGTATGACTTTACCTGGTTATCCCATGAGGGTCATCTCTTCTTTGGAAATGTTCAGCATGGAAGGACTTTGATAGTACCTGGGTTCCTCCTTATCAGCAACAGCCATTATAGCAAAGTCTGCAAGTTCTCAAAAATCTGGAAATTACTCTTTCCTGTTGGATGCAACCGTCTGCAGGGCCTTCTGTCAAAAGATGAGATTTCATGAGTAAATAATGTAGCTCCAGTATGTTCCTGGTGGGCCAAATCCTGCTTCTGTTGGTGCTATTGGCACAACTTTCGGTACCTGTTGTAACTGTAGGGCAAATTAAGCCAAACCACCAAATTCCTCTAAATGAGCTTTCCAAATGTATTTGAAGGCCTACTTAGAAGACCTTCCCTTTCAGTCCCAATCATCTCCTGCAGAAGCTGAAGGTTCATGGCTTATCTCAGAATCGATGCTTCAATCATTGCTTCACTTATCACAGTCTGTGTTTATTCTCATTAGTTCAAGACAAGAGCATGCCTGAATTTCACCGTGTCCCCAGTAGCACCTTCTCAGCAGCAGTTACCAGTTGAAGCCACACGGAGACTCATACCTGCATGATTTAGTTTCCTGAGTCATCAATGTTAACGACCTGATCACTGAATAATGACGAATTATTGTTCTCCCCCTCTACTCTGCACTGGTGAGGCCACAACTGGAATACTGTGTCTGTTTCTGGGCTCCCCAGTTCAAGAGAGACAGGGAACTGCTGGAGAGAGTCCAATGTGGGGCAACAAAGATGATGGAGGGATTGGAGCATCTCCCTTATGAGGAAAGGCTGAAAGAGCTGGGACTCTTTAGTCTGGAGAAGAGGAGGCTGAGGGGAGACCTTATTAATGCTGACAAGGATCTAAAGGGTGGATTGAAGGAGGATGGAGCTGGACTCTTTTCAGTGGTTCCCAGTGACAGGACGAGGGGCAACGGGCACAAGCTGGAACATGGGAAGTTCCATTCAATTATGAGGAAGAAGTTCTTTGGGGTGAGGGTGGCAGAGCCCTGGCACAGGCTGCCCAGGGAGGGTGTGGAGTCCCCTTCTCTGGAGATCTTCAAGCCCCACCTGGATGCTCCTGAGTGATGTGCTCAGGGCAATCCTGCTTTAGCAGGACGGTTGGACTAGATGATCTCTAGAGGTCCCTTCCAACTCTGACAATTCCA